AATCTTTTCTAGGTTTGAGGGTATAGTTCAGTTATTTAGATTTCTATGATTTACATACCTAGATGAAAATAATTACTCTGTATCAAGAAGGCTAAACATATAAATTGAACGACACTACAACCATACACATATCTTAAGTGAAACAAGTACAAGAAAATGACTACTCGTTCTATACACGTTTAATGGACTACCTTTCCTCGACCAATTATTTTTTGTATATTATGATCTGTATGAAATCAAACTTTCCTATCTATATTCGAGCTAATCAGCTATAGTGAACTCATAATAATTGACGGCGGACCAAAGCCACAAAAATGTATCGATGAAATAAAAAATAAAAATAGTACTCGTAAGTACTTGTGAATTTGTTAAGTTAATTATGATATACGAGTACTTACAACTTCATCAAATTACAAGAAAAAGTGAATTCTTACAAAGTAACTTGAATACTATAGAATCTTAGTATTATTAAAATAAATCATTCCTCTACTATTCCCTTTAGTAAGACATACTGGAGCATAAAAAGCCTAACATAAATAAAGCTGATTACTTGAATCTCATCTATTACCTACTATGGAGTACCTAGTATTTTAAACGTAGTCTTGCTAATAATGGACCTCCAACATACGGAGTACAATAAGTCATTATGTATTAATTTTCGACACGTATCATAAGTAATAATGCTAATCCCGTTGAAATTAGTGAATCATAGTCCAAAGTAGTCAATTCTATGAGTTGAAAAGTTAGTATGAACATTATATTATATTAATTATTCTAAAATTCATAATATGTTAAGTTTTAAGCAAACAAAAAGTGTTGGTTTGCCCAAGTGCTACGTGGTAGTTCTAACTTACTAAGGGAAAGAAGGAAATAGCCCTATTTTTTGCACTAAAAAAGTGGCCGAAAGTCGAAGATTTAATTGTAGTACTACGTATGCTAATATCTTCTTCGATTAAACCGCGTTTTAGAGCTTTGGACATTAATGGTGGTGGTTAGCTTGATTTGATTACTTAATTAAGTTATGACTTAATTACTCTCACCTTTTTGCTATCATTCTTTTTATTGGTACTACGTGTTTAGTCGGTTTTGCAAGAGTTGGGGTAACTTTACACCGTCAAGAATTTGATTTTTTGGTTTGTACTTTGTAGAGCTATTTACTCAATTGAATCTCTAGAACATCTCTACTTGAAACCTGAGATGTAATAGACATTTCTTAAATACTTATCTTTGTTCTATACATTTTTTTTTTTTTTTTTGTGAGAAAGTGGCTCCTTATGACGACGATTCATTCATGTTAACCGTTCTCTAATCAAATGAGGAATAGGGCATTATTGTTGACTTGTTGTAACTGTACTTCCTCTATTTCTTTATAATTGCAACACACATCTTATCACGATATTTTAAAAAAGCGGACCTCACATGATATATGGAGTAATACATTTCAAATGGGGTAAAGAGGTTGTTAGGAGTATAATTAAGTGAGCCATGTGTTTAAAATAAAGGTAATAATACAATTTTCAACATAAAACCTTCCTTTTATAGTGTGTTGCAACTATTATTATATTTCTATTTTAAAAAAGTGTTGTAACTATACAGGAATATAAGAACAGAAAAGTATATAACTTTATAAATACCTAAAAATAGCAATGTATCGTGGTATGTGGGCAATACAAGTAACCAAAATACGCGGAAAGCCTCTTTATATTCAGTAACTTGCGATGGACCTACATATATACATAAATACAGCCTACTATGAGTACTACCGTTTTATATGGTTTGGGGTGGTTGTCCCCTTTGTGAGCACCGAAAAATGCGTAGATTGTGACATTTTGTCTTCTTTTATTTGCTAATAAGAAGCATTTTTTTTAGTTTTACTACTATCATAGTGATAGAGGATTATATAGCACATAGTATTATGTTATTTGGCCCAACAGAACACACAGGCCCAATATCACAATACGCAGTTTTATAAGCTCAAACCTTCTTGCTCAACTTAGCTAATTGATGTGCAAAATATGTATCATGTCTGCCTTACATGAGAAAAAGAAAATAGATGAAACAGACTAGATAAATACTGAATACTACATTACATTTGATCTGTTGAGATTTGGGAAACAGATATTCTACATAAAATACATTTAAATAATGTCACCAAGCAATTTCAATTATATATACTCCTCATCAAAAGTCAACCTTAAGAATATTCAATACAAAAGTCAATTTACACTAAGATTCTAGACTTTTACTACATTTTCTAAAGTTTGTGTAATAGTATACTTTTTTTTAAACTATTTTAAAATTCAAAGGAACATTGAGAACAATTATTACAATCCAACAAATATTGTTTAAGTGCTTGCGTTATAACCTTAAATTGCAAACCGGCATATCTAATACCACTCCTAATTATGTCTATCACCTCCCTATCAGCAGTAAAAATTGGATCACCGGAACAGCCAGGATCACACATTACTTGATGAAGAAGCAAGTGTCCCTCGTATGACTCGCACAACCAACCTCAAAAAAAAAGTATGTTTGGTAGCTCGAATGTGCAACCGGGAAGGGAATGATTTCAAAATAAACGAAGACGGAAGGTCAAGGACGCTAGGTACAAGAATAAGTGGTATGTGCCTCAAAAGTGTGAAATTCTAGAGAAAAGCTATGAAAGGACATAGTATACCCTCTTTAGTACACTAATGATAGTAAAGAGGGGATAAGTTAAATAAGGATTTTAAGAAAGTGTATTGGTGTTCTAGAATGTTTAACTTGCATAAAGTCAAATTTGAGCATATGAGACCACTTGTCGTATAATTATCCGAGATTGTCTTATATACATTCGGGTGTAAGGTGCACCCAAGTGTATTATGTTTAATTGATACACTTTTTTTGCTCATTTTAAATTCTAAAATGAGGAAAAAAAAAACACCTTTGTGTGTACATGCCTCTATGTACACCCAGGTGTATATAAAAGGTTCTCCCGAAATTAAAAAATGAAAATGACATTATTTGGGTTGTTGTGAATAGGTTTCCGATCTTAAAAAGTTCACGAGTGAAGAAGACTTGGAAAATGGACAAATTGTAAAGACTTTCATAAAGCAGGGGCGGACCTACCTTTAGTCATAGTGGGTCCGGTGACACAATATTTTTTTTTAAAAAAAATATCAAATAGACCCCTTATTATAGATAGGTGGTCTCTTTGATGCTGCTGTTGGTAACAACAAACAATATCAAAGAGACCTCTTATTAAGATAGGCGATCTCTTTAATGCTGCTATTGCTACAAAAGACTTGTTGTGGTTTTTTTTTAAATATTAAAGAGACCTGTTATTTATATAAGAGGTCTCTTTGATGCTGCTATTGCATTTCGCAATTTTTTTGCGCTACTTTTTTTTTCATTAAAGAGACCAGTTATATTTAATAACCGGTCTCTTAAGTTATCTCACTTTTTTTTGTATAATTTTTTAATAATTTTTTTTCCCTTTTTATATCTTATATTTGTACAACCAATTTTAATATTTCCCCATAAAGCTTATCAATTAACTAAAAAACCATAAAATTAATTCAATATAATAATTTTATTGTACCATTTGTTTATAACATGTTATTTGTAGTATTTTCGACTTGTAAAATTGAATTCTTAAGTACTGTATTTGGTTGTGGTATGAATTTTTGTGTCCTATTTTTGGATTGCAATCAATTTGGTGAAATATATATATATATATATATATATATATATATATATATATATATATATAATTTTTGGATTGAAATTAATTTTGAACAAGACATGGAAAAAAAAATTGTACTTTCACAAATGATCAATAATTGATGGTGACACACTATCTCGGAAATCCTGGATCCGCCACTGTCATAAAGTATGTTATGACTCTTATGAGACTATAGAATTTCTAAAAGGGCTAGGAAAGATTTGCTACTATTTTATTTTTAAATGTTGACATTGAGAAAATATACAAAATTTCACTTTAGTTTTTTTTTCTTGTACTTGTTTATTTAATATACAGGTTGAACACCCTTTAGATGTTTCATTTTACTCTTAACACTTATTTTTGTTCTTTACATTTATTTGTGGGGGAGCAGTGGTCCTTTATGATGAGATTGATGACGATTTATATTAGCCATTCTCTAATCAAATGAGGAATAAGGCTTTATTATTGTTTTATTATTGTTGTATATGTATATAAGTACCTCAAAGTAGCAATGCATTGTGGTATGTGGGCAATACAAGTAACCAAAAAAGCGGAAAACCTCTTTATATTCAGAAATTTGCGATGGACCTACATTTATACTCCAGTGACTAATAACAGATTAACAGCCTACTACGAGTATTACCGTTTTATATTGTTTGGGGTGGTTGTCCCCTTTGTGAGCACCGAAAAATTGCGTAGAATGTGACATTTTGTCTTCTTTTATTTATTGACTAATAAAAAGCATTTTTTTTAGTTTTACTACTATCGTAGTGAATTAGTGATAGAGGATAATGTATACTTGTAGTTATAATATAGCACATAGTATTATGTTATTTGGCCCACAGAATACAAACAGGCCCAATTCTACAATACTCGTACGTAGTTTTATCAAAACCTTATTCCTCTTGTGTCAAAAAAAAAAAAAAAAACCTTTTTTCTCAACTTAGCTAATTATGTGCAAAAATGTATCGTGAACCATGTGAAACATCAAAAAAAACATACGGAGTAGGAGGTAAGCAAAGTATGTCTTGAACAACTTGTGATATTAAAAGTTGAGATTTGGGAAAAGTGTTAACATATTAATTAATGGTAGAGATTATTTTATGCTAAGAACCATTAACATAATTGGGCTTCCCAGCCCGAATTTGCACAAATTGGCCCCATCAGCTTGCACTAGGCAAGCCTCATAATTTGAGGCACTGGACAGTATGATAGGCTAGAACTAGAAAGCCTAGAATACATGATCACCATATAAACTCACACTGTTGGACAGTTGGTAAGCTATCATACTTGTATATATAAGAGGAAAAAAAAAACACCACTAGTAATTTCAATTCATTCTACTAATAATCATTCTTGCCACTTGACAACTTCAATTACATATACTATTTAAAAGTCACATTTAAAATATTATACATCAAATCCTTTGTAGTTTCTACTAATCTAATCTATTCTACTAATCTAATACAGTATTAATTTAATACACCAAAGTCAAGATTTAGCTCACATCATCTTCTTTACTACCTCCTTCAAGAGGTCATCCATTGGAGAATCTTTGAAATTGTGTAAATGAAAAAACTGCATCAAAAATAGTCTAAGACCATCTACAGTAAGAGCAGATTTCAATCCAAAGTAATTTCCTCACCACCAGTCTTCATCACAGCAAGAACCTCCCTATCAGCGTTGAAGATCGGGCCACCGATGCTAATATTTGGAACTCTAACTTGGTGAAACAGTTCCTTTCCTTCAATATGGCTAACTCGACCTTCAACACATAAATGATATTTGCCACTAGAACATGCCAAATAGTATACCACCATACCCCTTAGAACATCAGATTCATTACTAAATCTTACCGGAATTCTAACAATATTAGTAGAAATTTCCTCAAGATATACAAGTACAACATCATTGTCAGTGGAAATGATAGATGAATTTGTTGGTAAAATAACTATTGAAATCAATAACAAATAAAGATTAAAACTTTCCTGAATTGAAGATCTCAAACTCACAGTTGCGCCGCGGAACAAAATTCACTGCCTTAAAAGCGAAATACGCCACCACCAGTACAAGCCACCACCAGTACAAGTTTCCCAGTGACGCACACCCCCCAAGTTTAACGCAACTCTCGTAATTCGTACACTCGAACCCGTAGAGTGGAATTATTCGAGAACTGTTCAGATCTCAAAGGGTAGGTTTGTGTTTGAGTGTTTAGGGTATTTCAATAATGAAATTAACCTATGATTGAAATAATAGCCAAGAAGTAGTATTTATAGGAGTAATAAGAAAAAGGAAATAGAAGCACAAGCCTCACGCAAGGCCCATACCACGGCTGGGCTGGCGAGCTATCGCTCTCTAGCGAGTGAGTTATCGCTCAGCCTTGCCGTAGCCTTCATGAGCTGCGAGCTATCGCTCACTCGCTGGCGAGCTATCGCTCGGACTGCCGCAAGGCTCTGCCAGCAGCGAGCTATAGCTCCCTCGCTCGGGTCTGCCGCAAGGCATTTCCAGCAGCACATAGGCGAGCTCTCGCTCGGACCTGCTGCAGGCCATTGAGAGCATCCGAGCTCTAGCTCTCTTGCTAGCTCGGTCTCGCGCGGCTCACCAACTTGCTTGCTACACCTTTCCCTCGTTAACTCCTTGCACACTCACTTGGTAAAGCTCCGATTTGCATTACTAGAATTGCAAAACTCCAACAGAATTATGCATAACATCTTCTTTATAAAATTTAACTTGAATCTCATTTTCAGCATTAAATTTATCCACCGAGTCTGACGGATCAAACGGAGGGTTTCCGGCGGCGGTGATAATAAGAGAGCATACCTTGTTTTGTGAGGTCCAGGAAGAAATTGCAAACCCCGTTGCCGAGTAGGATTTCCGATGTCGTTTACTCGGACAACTCGTTGTCAGAAGTTTTCTAACATTGATATGAACCACACTTGAAACAACTTCACCAAACAGCTCGTCATGGGCCTCAAGGAATTCCTTATTAAAAAAAAAATTAAAAAAAAAATTAAACTCAATTTAACAAAAACAATGCATTAATTGTAGGAACATAACATACCAATTCCTTAATATCCTTATCATTTCTTTCAATTTGAACCGAAAGATCCCGACATAAATCAAAAACCTAAGGGTTTGTTTGACATTATCGTGGTTTTCTATTTTTTGGTTTTTTGATTTTCAAAATCACACGATATATGTCGTATAATGAATAAAAAATTTAGTCAAACTTATTAAAATTCTTATAATTTAAAAAACTGACAAAAAAAAAAGTGGAAACACCTTTTTCTTGTTTCCTGTTTTTGGTTTTTGGTTTTAAAAAAAGCAAACTGAAAACAAAAAACAATGCCAAATAAAATCTTTGATTTCTTCAATACAAGAACAACTCATTTCTTTCTTCTTCTTCTTCGTTATTAAGTTTAAAGGTTGAAAAGGGGAAGACATGGCTACGGCAAAGAGAAGTTTTTTTTTTTTTTTTTTTTTTTTTCTTAAGTGGGGAGAAGAAGGGTTGAAAAAGGAGGAATACACAGAGAAAAGAGAAAACACAGTAACAAAGACTGTACTATTGTGGGGAGACTAAAGTGTAGTGTACCCTTGCATTTTATATATTATATTAAAAACATATTAAATATATAATATAAGAAAAAATATATTTAAAATACGGGAAATTTATTTTGATGTTGTAACTTTGACACTGTTCTTTTGAGCTGTTGTGGTCTGTTGTGAACTTGTGGTCAGATCTGCTCAACTGAACCTTGCTTAGCTTTGCTCTACTGAGTATTAATAATCCACTAACACTTGTTCTGCCTGTTGACACTTGCTCTACTTTGCTGAAATCTGATATTCTCTGCTCTGTTGGGAAGCTCAAAAGAACAGGGTCTTACTCTTATATGTCGATGGCAACGCAATGTGGCAAGCTATTATGGGGTTTACTTTGTCAAGCTATAGAGGTTACTCGTTTAGTGTTATGGGGATTATTCGGTTAGTATCATAGGGGTTATTCCATCAGTGCTCTAGGAGCTACTTTGATCTTTTGCAAGCAGTTATTCGGTGAGGCCAGTCACGCAAAAAGCGTGCCGCACATTTTTTTTTTTTAATGATTAGAAAAGTGAAAGTTGTTTAGAGGGTAGTCCCTAAAAAATGCATATAATTGAAAGGTTGGGGATTTTGAGAGCTATGGTGAATTGTTGATAAATGAACTGTATACCCGTGTGAATGCATGACATATATAATAATATGTAAAAAAAAAATAACACAAAGTGAAATGTTAATAGTGTTTTAAAAAATAAAAATTAAAAAAAAAAAGTGAAATATTTTTAGTAGTCCCTTGAAAAAATACAAAAAAAATAGTAGATGGATAGTTATTGATTTTTGTTTTTAAAAGTTAAAAAAATAAATAAATAAAGTAGTGGAATGGGTAGTTTTTTCTTAAAAAAAAAAAAATGCATGGGAGTTGAGGATTGAGGTTTTGGAGAAACCTCATTAACTGACTGTGCAATTATATTATACATTAGGCCGTTAGGGTCTTAGGGATATGGTTGAGTGCTTGGATCATAAAGACCGTTTCTTTATTTAGAGAAATAAATGTCATTTTTTTTTTAGGTTATTGTTTGGTTTGTTCAAGGAACTTGTTTCGCATAGGCAGTTAAGAAGGAATTTGCAAATAATAGGAATATTGAGTTACCAAGAGAGGGGTTAGTAATTTAATTCCTACATTTTGGAGGCATTGGAAATTTCCATGAATTTGCAATTTCTCCATATTGTAATCAATCAAACAAATCCCCCATTATTAAATTTCCACGAATTTTCATTTCCCCCATTTTTTTTGTTCAACCAAACAAGCCTGAGACGAGTAATAAATATCATTTTATACAAGTGGGTAAAGGGCCGAGCACTTTTTACTCCGTAGGTGAAAAAAGGGCAACAAACTGTAAATTAGTTAAAGTGAACCATTTACAACATGTTACTCGTTTAACTTAATTTAACTAAATTATATTTAACTTAATTTAGTTGAAGAGTCAATGTTAAATTTAAATGTTTAATTCCTTCGGAAGGAAAAAAAAAAGAAAAAAAAAAGTATACTGAGGCTTATTAATTGTCCCAAAGATTAGAAAGAATAATTTAATAATTGCTTGATTTTATAAAGGTCCCCTTATAGCACCTCTTGGAGAGGACAACACTTGGTTTGATGAGAAGTCGAAAGAGAAGAAAGGGGAATTTTCATAAATTTAGTGATCAAACAAGTAGCCAATAATAATGGAGTAAAGTTAAAATACGGTCCCTAAACTTTGCCAAAAATTTGGATTTGGTCCCTTAACTTTCAAGTGATTGAATTTAGTCCCTCCACCACCATTTTTGGTGGTTAGTATAGTGACTCATCAAAGTTTAGGGACTTGAGGACTGACTAGACCAAAGTTTAGGGACCTTGCTAAATTTTAATGGATCCCATGATGACTAGACCAATGTTGATATTAAAGATTAATTAGGCAAAGAAATTTTAGGCTAGACAAATATTATTTTATATCAATTTGCAAGAAATTAATTGAGATTTTTTTTAAAAAAAAAAATCATATCAAATTCAACTGAAAATAGGCAAAAAATAAAATAAAATAAAATTGCATGCAAGCAATTTATTTTGAGGAAATCCAAGTTCATCTCAATGATAAACTTGGTTAGTTTATCCCACGGCATTTCTGTGATAATATTGCATTGGTTTTCGCAAACATCCAATAAAAAACGAGGTTAGGGGCCCACGTTTGTCAGCTGCCATGTAAAAGCAAAGTAATGATAAAACATCCGTTTCCCCAATGTTAACCCCAGATTCACGGCCATTAACTCAAGGTGAGTTAACTTTCCTCTCTGCAACTTTCCTTTTCAACATTCTATGGCTAGCCTGCATTACCATTAGTAGACAGGAGTTCAAACAATGCATTTGGTTATCAAAACATATTTTCCCCAAAATTAAAAATAAACAAAAGGAGCAAACTATTAGCAATAATGTATAATCATACCGCCACCTCCATTGTGAAGTTTCCCACCAACACGTTCTCTATCATCACCATTAAAAACAATTCATACGATTACCAACAACATATACTATATACTGTAACAATGAACACACCCAGAAAAACACAGATACTCAAACCCTAAACAGATGTTTTCAATTCTAATTTTAGGGAAAATTACTCAAATTGACCTCCCATTTTAAATTAATTAATGAACTAAACGTACGTCTTTTCCCCAATTGCATTAAAATATCAAAGTAACAATCCAAGTACTACTGAAATTTAGGGAAACAGTACTCAAATTGACCTCCTATTTTCAATTACAAATGCATCAAACGTAACAACACTCTTCGTTTTTCCCCAATTGCATTAAAATTTCAACACAACACTCCAATTACTAAAAGATTTTACCATCCATACACTTCGCAATTACCAGTCACAATCAATTTAATTTATTCCCAATCAAATAACAACAACAAGTACAACTATCAACAAATTGATTCGTGTACCTTTTCAAGATTGCCAAAGTGAAAAAGCGAAACAACCACCGCAACGAAACGACCATCTCCAATCACACTACACAAATCGACGACAAACCTAGACCCAGGAGATTCCCAATTCGGCAATTCAATTTATTAAATTCGTGGAAAAACAATTCACAAATCAGAGCAAAGCGAGCATTGAAGAGAGTTTCCTGAAGCATTCGAGCATTGAAGAAGTTTCCTGAATTCGGATATTGGCCTTATTTGGCAAATGGTTGTTGGCGGTTGGCTGGTTCACTTGGCTTGTTTGACTAGCTGGAATGTTTGGCTGTTTATAATGGCAAAATTGGTTGTTTAAGCTGGCTATTAATAAAAGTGTTTGGTAAATTTAGTTGTTGGCTGTTTATTAGATAATTTGTGGGCCAACAAGCCAAAAGCCAACAAAAAAAAAGCTACTCAAAGCAGCTTTTTCATTTTGGCTTAAAAGCCAGCTTTTTCGCTGAATGAAAAGCCAATTACGAAACACTTTTTTTGGCTGTTTGTCCACATAAAAAAGCCAAAATCTAACCAAAAAGCCACCAAAAAACCATTTACCAAACATGACCATTACTTGGAGAAACTAACACAAGTTAACTATGGTTAACTTTAGAGACATAACGACGTTTATTATTAGGTCAACATGCAAAATTCCGCGTGACCAGCTATTTACCTTGGCACCCCTGACTAATGACGCAAAAAGATGATTTAACCCCTAGATAAACGCACCAGGTTTATCACGAAGATGAACCTGGGCCGGCTCATTTATTTTGATCTATTTTTAGATGTAAAAATTTTTATAAAAGGGAAATTTTCTTCAATAACACCAATTTTTTTTATTTTTCTTGGTGAACTAATAAAAAAAATTATTATCTTTGGTAATCATGAATTATTATACATAATAACTTACTTATAACATTAATGATATTTTTTTATTAAATGTTTAACTATAATTAAGTTTTTTAAGAGAATTAAATAATTTTAATATATATTTTTTGTAAAAAACACCACCCCATCTACTGCCAACCCCCTCCCCATCAGCCCCAGCACACGGTTACCCGCTGACACAACCTCCCCCTGTCGGCGACCCATACCCAAACACCCCTAGCCACACCACCCCTCCCATTTCCCTTGAATCAAACCCCTTCCCCTTCCCTTTCCCCCACCTAAAATGCTTCCCCTAATCCCAAAAACCTTGTCCGAAATCACCCAAATCCTAAAAAGGTTGCTTTCACATGGGGGTTTCGGGTGGGGTTTTTGGGATTTGGGGGCACAACTCGGGATGGGGGAAAGGGTGGCCGATACAGGGAAAGGGGAGGGGTGGTGGCCGGTGGGATTACGGATGTTAGTGGGGGTTGCCAGGCCTGCCGTCAGCGAGGAAGGTAGGTCGTACGCTAGCGGGGATGGGGCAGGTAGTATATGGGGAGGGGGTCGTTTTCTTTTTCTAAACAAAATATTTATAAAATCATTTAATTTTAAAAATCATGGTTGATTTTAAAAAATATAATAAATCATTTGATAAAATCATGCCTATAGGTCCCTAAATTTTGCTAGGTAATTGTATTTAATGTCATCTGTGCATAAGAATCCCTAAACTTTCACAATAATTCCAATCTATGCCACCTTACCAGTGCAAGCCTGCAAGGTCCCTAAACTTTTATTTTTGGATGCCAAATCATCACTTTAGTCCCTAAACTTTGCCATGTCATCTTTTTTTGTCATAAAGACTGCCAGAAGCCCGTACTTACTATTTAGTGGTGGTTGAGGGACTAAATTCAGCCACTTGAAACTTGAGGGACCAAATCCAAACTTTTGGCATTTTTTTTTTTTTTTTTTTTTGGTGTTTAGAGAGCTATAAGGGCGAGTGATGAGAATCTTCGGAATGAGAGTTCTACCCACTTGATCTATTTCTCACTCTCAAACTTTTGGCTAGTTTAGAGACCGTATTTGGGGTTTACTCAATAATAATGTATAATGAAACAATAAAACACATTATAAAATGTTTAAATCTCGAATTGATAAAAAGAAGGCACCGAGGCACACAAGGGTGAATGGCTAATATATGCAATTGGCCACTGACGTGCCTCTTGTATTATGTTTAATCAGTACTTGTGCCGGCTCAACCCATGCCTAGGTCTTAGCTATGAATAACAATATGGCCCAATATCCAATAATACTTTATCAATCTTTCTTTTTTCACTAACATCCAACTTAACTGATCCATGTATCGACCAACTTAGCTGGCATATCTATTATATTTATAGACTTATTAATATCATACATTCATACTGGATTCAATTTGCACATTTAAGAATGTGATATAAAAGGACCCTATTACAAGAAATGGCCCCTAAACTCCAATAAACGAAGAATCTAAAAGTCACATACAGATGAGCAATTGCAGGCAAATGGTTCCCCTTTGTAGAATCAACAATTTGTTACACCATAATTATAATACATGCTCTAAGATAATGTACCTTATTAGCCAGGCCATTTTCAATTATCAATAGTATCGCACCTAAATTATGGTTGAATCAACTAGTTCGGCAACTAAACTCATTTTTTATTTCAACTTGCAACTTACCTACTTATACTTGTACTCTTAATCACCATCTCTGCGAATTTGTAATTTTATGGGTTATTAAACGTATCCTAAACATTGACACAACTATTTCCTAGATACACATGTCGTGTTATTTTTAAATTGGATCAATTTTAAAATAGACCTAGAATTAAGGGGAAAAAACACAGGAACTCCTAATCCCAATATGCACAGTAAACTAAATATTACATGGAATTTCTCATTCATAATACGTCAAAAAATATTGCAGGATTATATCTTGAACGAAACAATGCACATTGCTATGATTCCTTCCCATACTTGAAAAGGGGTTCCACTTCCCATGCTGCAGTTGAGATGAACTAGTTAGCTTGAAGAGCATTTACCTAGCTCTGTCTTACCATTGTCTTAAAATAGAGGTACTCCGTATTTCGAAAAATAAAACGTATTACGGAGAGTGTTTAAAACGTATTACGGGGAATGGTTTTTATGCAACAAGATAATTAAAGCTAAGAAAGGTGGCTGATCTGGTAATCACTTAGCTCTGTCTTACCAAAAAAACATAAAGAACAAGTCATTAGAAAATTAAGACACCTAAGGAATGACAAAATAAACACTCTCGAAAGAGAAATCACAAAAGGAGCTGCTTATCTGGTTCCAACCAGCTCTCTATAACTGTCTTAACCACTAAATCACTATCACTTTAATGACGTGAAAAAAAAAATTGAAAAGACAGCCAAATTTTTTTGTAGGTTCAATTATTTGATGAACAAATAGCATAGAACCACTCATTCTACAAAGCAATATCATGGCTAAAAACGAAACATGCTGCTGAAAGATTCAATTGCGCGATGCATCAGGGCAAAAGAAGGATCACGGTAGGAACAAAGGTATGGTTGCCTAGTGATTCAGAATTATGAGTATACATTCTTTGCAAAAACAGAGCTCAATGAGCTGCATCTTCAAAACTCAACAACCACAGAAACAACTGCAGAACACAAACAAATACAACACAGCTGCTATCGAATGCTCAAATTAGCAAGCTAATACTACACATAGCAGCTAGAATAGACTGCTCAAATTAGCAAGCTAATACCAGTATATCACACATATAGCAAAGCTACTATTGACAATTGAAATTAGCAAGTTAATCCACAATTCCACATACGAGTATATAGCAAAGCTAAGACCGACTGCTCAAATAAGCAAGCTAATACCATAGAAACAGATACCAAAGCAAGCTTATGTCGCAGATTCAATGGTAATCAACAAGGGAAATGACTTATAGTTGAATGAACCTTTACTTATCGCAGCATATCAGACATACTTCAAGCAACTATTTACTAAACATTAACGAACCATAAGAAGAAAAAAACTGCATGGGAAAGGATCATGATCAAGCTCAAGCAGATATAAAAGGTAAATGATCCACATGTACAAGATTGTCAGTATATAGCATATGATAGATGACAGTTGTTGGCCAATGTCAAAAACTACAAAATTGCAAAATTCTACCACGGAATGCCAATGAAACAGACATGATCTGACAACTTCAAAATAAAAACAAGAAAAGCTTTAATTGATCTTCAAACACAGTGATCTAACTTAACAATGTCAAAATTTCTCCCTGGCATGTTCCAACAGAAAAGCCAAATTACAATAATTCAATTCTTTCTCTTCTAGCAACCTGAAGAACAATTGAACCAAACAGATAAAAATGGAGAGAAGATAATATCTTAACAATGAACACATATTATTGAACTAATTTTGATTCTTTCTAAACAAAAAATTGATTCAAGATAAATGATTAATAAGTTTCAAACAACTAAATACAACTTATCAAAAAAGGGTACCTTAGAATTGATGAAAATAAACAGATTATATTGGATTACACTACAATACATTTCAACCAAGTATGCAATTCATATTGCCATTGCATATACTTCTCCAAGGTTTCCACTTCCTTGTTCTTCTTCTAAACCTCTCTTTTCCCCCTTTTCCTATATACACTTTGTCTACTAATCAATCTTCCAACTCTCCTTCATCACTCCCATGTTTTATGTACAAAATCCAACCCCCCAATCTAATCCCATCTTCATTCCTTTTCCAAATTCCAACCTTTTCGACATCACCATCTTCTTATCCGACTCCCCATATCGAAACCCCTGCTTCGTGTCCTCGAAGAGGCGCTAAAAAACGAAGTAGCTCGACTCCTCTGGCTATTAATCCTTGAATCCGAGCTCGAGCTAGTAGAATCTTCCAATGGTGATTGATTCCTATCCCCTCCACCAAAACAAGAGAACAAGTTCCTGAAAACCCTTCGAATTCCACCACTTTCCCTTGACCTCCCACCTCTAGAACCCCAGGAAATCCTCCTTGGCACACCTCCTTGATTAAACCCACCATCCATTTCTGTATAAACCACAGGCAACTCCCTCTCACCTCTCCTCCCACCTGCAAACCTCCCCACAGCGAACCCGCCACCGGGCAACCTCCAAATCGTCAACCCAACAGTCTCATCCTCATTCCCCTCAACCAAACCACCTTGACCATTACTGTTATTGTTAATATTACTAGTATTATTACTACCAGTTTGGCCCGGGTTCAACTCAGGCGAGTGCGCATGCGAGTGCGAATCAACCCTGTTATCAGAGGGCAACTCGTGCCTACAAACAGGACATGAATTTCTCAAAGACAACCATGGCAATATACAATCATGGTGATAGATATGCTTACAGGGCATCTCTCTTGCTTCTGAACCAAGCTCAAATGCATCCTTACAAACCGCGCAATAACACTCCCCTTCAATATGCTCATCAACGATCTCAATCGTAGGCATTGATTCGATAGCCGCTTTCGAAGCCGGCGGTTGTTCTGCTCTACCAATCCCATTGATCTCAATTTGAGCCAGCTGATCTAACAACCGATCAAAACCCGAACCCAGCAAAAACTCCGATACACTAGCAGGTAAAGGCCGAAGACCAGATCCTCCACCATCATCATAGTAAAGCTCGTAACTCCCTCCACCAGCAGCAGCAGCGGCATCTGATTCCGATGGGGCCCGCAAAACGATTACCGGATTAAACGGTGACCGGTCACCACCATTTCTCCGACTCCGGCGAAGTCTAGGGCTAGAGGAGAGAGATTCACGAGATGAAGCAGAGTTCGAGTTCGAATTAGGGTTTCCTCCGACCATATACATCGCTGCAGCCGGAAAACGACGTCGTCGGGAGTCGGCGAGAGGAGAGGAGGAAAGCTGAGACGGAAGCGGCGGCGGCGGTGCCGGCGGCGAGTCGATTTCTTCGAGGAAACCGCCGTGACAATCAGGGCAAGAAATGGCGGAGGAGAGAGAAATTGGATTCGGTGAAACCCTAACAAATCGATTGCATCTGTAACACCAGTATGATGTAAGAGATGAAGGTGATGATGATGTAATTATTGCCGATGACATCGAAATCGGGCTTTACTTTGAATTTCTACCAAATTTAATTCCCAAATTGAATTGTTCTTCTACAACTGCAGATCCAGAAAAATGTAAATCAACAAAACCTAATTAAAATCAATAATTATGAGTAATATTATAGGGGAAATTGAATTGGGGGAAAACCCTAGAAATCGGGTGACGCCGGTAAAGGAAAAAGATCCCGGCGAAGGAGAGAGAAGTGAGGAGAGAGAAAGTGGGGGAAAAAATGGAGGAGAGAGAAAATAGAGAAAATGTGAGAATAAAAATAAAGGAAGAAAAAGGAGGAGAAGAAGAGGTTGAGGAGGAGAGTTTGACGGAATAAGCGCGTGGGTCCACGCAGGTGAAGGACACGTGGTGAGATGTGATTGGAGGAGAGGGTTAACGGCGTTAATTTTGGAATTGTTAGAGAGAAAATGGTTTAATTAACGAGGGAGTAATAGTAGTGCTTAGTCTGATTAGTGTTTGCCGAAAGAAGGGAAAAAAAGAGTTTGAAAAAGGCGCGTGTCGTAAAGGTAAGGGTAAGGGTGTATTATTATTACTACGAGCAGTGTATTTTTTTTTTTTTTTTTTTTTTTTTGAAAGAACGAGTAGTGTATTTTGTGTCATTGTGTGTGTAATAATAATGTGAGAATGTTTATGATTTTATGAATGAGGACTATTTGGCGCTCCAATGGGTCCCTAAATACCTAAATTTGCCCAACAAACTTACAAATCTAACATCAACTTCGTCTATATGGGGTGTTTGCTTCTTTGGTTGAGAGAAGTTTGCAGTTTTAGTACGAGAGTGTTAAGTTGAGAGAGGATTGAAAGTTATGAAGTACTCCTCTTCATTTTGAATATGTGACATGTTTTGACTTGTGTCCTTTAAAAAACTTTTTTTTTTTGAACGGCTTGTCGTTTAGAAAGCTTAATAATAAGCAATATCCCTGATAAACATTAAGATTAATCGAACACATTACTTTTAAGAGAATATGGTCAAAGTTGTAATAGAAGTCAAAGCTTGTCAAATATTGAGGAACGGAGGGAATAGATAGAACTAATTACCAATAAAAGGTTTCAACATGTGAACGACATACTTAATTGTATGAGATTTTTCCCGTTGAAAGTTTTGTAATTTGCAAGAGAAAAATTACTTTTTTTCCTATATTCGGTTAAAATTATCACGAAGTACTCTTTAATATACACCGCTAGGTATATGAATTTATGATATACTTTGTGTTCAGCTTAACTTGAATATGAACATTAGTGTTTGCTTGTATGGCAATAATCTATGTATGGTAAGTGCGATTAATTCAATCAGAATGCTAAAATTTTTAAAAATTGTAGTATGGAGTTGTAGGTTAGGGTTTTTTTTTTCTTCTTTATATATATATATATATATATATATATATATATATATATATATATATATATATATATATATATATATATATATATTTTGAAAGTTTAAGGTTATGGTTTAGATATTGAAATAACTAAATTAGAAACAATTAAGTAATAAGTGTGTCATTTCAAAAAAAAAAAAAAAAAGTAATAAGTGTGTACATTAACTTTTTATTCAAAGAATCTTTTATACGTAGCTGCTAATACTGAAAAAGATATGCACATCAATTGATGCCATTCATGCCAAGATAATTAGTTTGATCTTCCTTAGGTTAGGACTTCATCAATAATTGGGTTAGCTAGACATATATACATTGCATGTGCTATGGTCGTTCTCCTATAGGTTCAAATGATTGGGTATGTATGTTTCACTAATCCACTTGTACTGTCCTTTAGAAGGATGCCCATCACACAAACAAAACAAAGGATAATACACTGCATTGAGCAAGCTAAGCTAGCTAAGTTATGGAACATAATTAGTTGCTTCATATGAAGAGGGTAGCTCTTACCTATATGAGTTGAAGGTTTACTTACGGTCAACTCAATTTTATTGACTTCAATGTTTCCGAATAGGTACACCTAACATAAAGTAAATGAAAATTATATAAAATACTTATAACTTGATGATTAGCCTTATCCATCTTTTTCCCAAAAATAAAAATAAAAAAAATAAAAAAAAAACATTACATTTTCAAAATGTAAAATGGACTTCAAACAGAGAATGATTCCTTCAAAAAATTGCCTCTCTATTGCTAAATGCCAATACAAGATTTGTAATGAAGATTAGTAGAATCTCACCAAGGCCGGCCCTTAACTATTTTTTTTGTGATAAAAGACTATTATAAGAGATTGACAAATAAGTATGTAATCTTTACTTGTAGTATTCCAATTCAACCAAAAATATTTGCATCTTAAAATAAGACATCAAATTAGTGTGGATAGAAGAGACGGCCATCATGCAACTACTATTTTAAAAGTTTGACTATTTATGGTTAATTAAAATAAATAAGCTAAGTTATGATACATGAGTCAAATTCCTATGTATTAAGTTTATCCTTAAATTTTTAATATGTTTTACTAATTAATTAATCGGGTTTCTTGTTGAACAAACCATATTAGGAATCTAATGACAAAGACTAAGGAAAATTTGACGAAAGTTACATGAAATTTACAAGAAAACTTAAACCCCTAAAACATGATGGTAAAGACAAAAAATATTTGTGTATTAAGTAGAAAAAACGGTCGGACCGGGGTGAATTCAAAGCGTGTGCAGAGAAAACCGGGAAGAAATGCCCGTTTTAGTCAAGTAATCACTGTTGAATTTGGCACGATGGTATTTTTAATGCTTTAGTTAAAATAGAGAAATTAAATAAAGTTTGAATATTGGAAGCAAGTCATGATTTTCATATATTGCATGCGTTTAATGTTGGGGCCTACTTTGGTGTTATGGAGAGTAATTTCTTTAGTCAATTCTTAGGATGTACGAACTATGTATTAATTTTGCATTAACAAAAAAAACATAAATAATACAGAGTAATTTGTAATTTTGTACCGAGTATAATTTATACGCGTACTTCCTTGATTTTAAACTATAAGATATACGGAGTACCTACTAGGGATGTCAGTGGGTTGGGTCAAATAGGAGACCCACCCCAACGGGACTGGGATGGGTCTTAATTTGGCCCCATCCCCACATCCATATATTTTTAAAAACAAAATTATATACTTTTATACTATTTTATAAAAAAAATTATGTAAAATAAAATAGTAAATATAATACTTTGTAATACACTTATATTATAAACAAAAAAAAAAGTGTAATATTAACAATAATTTTTCCTTTTTGCAATCTTTATTAATTATGAAAAATTGTGTATTTGGGAGGCGGGGATTAGGCTGGTCTTAAGTAGGGGTGGATATCCAAGGGGGGATGAAGCGAGGATGGTTTTGGAGTTGTACCCGTCGGGACGGGGATGGGGATAAATTTTAAGCCCACCACGGGGATGAGGATGGAGATGGGGATGGGAAGGCCAACATCCGCCCCGTCCCGCCCCGTCCAATTGACATCCCTAGTACCTACTAATGAACAAAACAATGTTGACAGCAAAGAAAATAAGTTAACTAATGTTATTTTTATTTCTCTTTGTATAAACGTGGATAGATACGATGTATGAGGAGTTTTTTATTCAAAAAGTTTTTCTTTTTTTTAGTTTTTAAGAAAAAAATGCCTAAAATTGGTATGATAGGGATTTGATGGGTTTTGGAGAAAATTAGGGAATGATTCCTATAATTTCAAAAAATATACCACCATAAAAATAAAAGCTTTTTAGCAACTAAGTTTGGCAATAAATTTTAAACGTTGCTAAATAGCAACGAAAATAATTTTTTTCATTGCCTAATTAAAAGCGACATTTTATGCTTTAGTTTTTTATTAATTATTGGCTACATGTTTTTGATTTGTTGCTGTTTAAAACAAATTATCTTATTAGTTGTTACTAGATGGCATCATATTTTTGTCTTGTTGTTGTACAACAACAAACTATGGCAACTGATATTATCAATTTAGAGACAGATTTTTCAATTCCGTCTCTAATATTTTGTTCACTTATTATCAATTATGTGCATAAAAGTAAACAAATAGTACTTGGTATAATTGGTAAGAGTTTCACCATGTGACTTTGAGGTCACATGTTCAATTCCTACCAACTGCGATTCTTGAGATTGGGGATTCAAAGAGCCTTACATGCAAAGCCGAGCCGAGTTGACCCGATTGAGGTTTCAGATTGGTCAAGGGATCAGGTTGTAGTGTTGATAGCAACCAACATTAATAATTTGTTGCTAAAATTAGCAACAACCAATGGTAATCTGTTGCCAAAGTTGGCAACGCATGCACCAAGAACAACAACCATTATGGAATCTATATTTAAATAAATGCAATATTGCAACAAAAATGTTTTGCAACTAGCATGGTAGCCGAAATCCCATGGCAATAAGCCTTTTAGCAACAACAAATTTTCGTTTCCAATCCGTTGCTTACTAGAGTTGGCAACTGATTTTTGGTGAATAGCAACAAATTTTAGTTATTGCTATATTGACTTAATGTTGTAGTGTACACATGAATGCACGAGATATAAGTATCAAATTTACAAAATATAATGTAAGAAATGTGCCTTGAACCAGGAGCGAGTAAGATAGGGTTGTTGGTAGGAAAACTTAGATAAGTGAATCAATTGAATAGAAATCACCCTTAACTACATATAGAGGTTTCGTCTTCAAATTTCATCAATCCTCAACCTTATTTAATTTTAAATTATAAGTTAGTAGATATTTTTGTATTTCGTATTTTCGACACGCCACCAAAAGAATTATTCTTGCAACATGCCCTTAGCTTGTGTACACAAAGGGACAAAATAGCAATAGTATAACTTATAAACACTGCTTAGAATTTTAAAGCAATTAAACAAAAAAGGGTATTAATATTACTCTATCTTCTAATAGGATTATTATTGACAGAATGAGCTGTTCTTATTCATTACAAACTACATATACACAAACCAATACGAATAATTAGGTAAAATCTGATTTCGTCCATCTTGAGTATAAAAGAATTTGCACAAATCACAAATCACTAGCCACATTAATTTATTAAAACTCTAAACCAACTAAACTAAACTTTGCTCATGAACAGTATATGAAAATAATTGGAGCATAATAATGCAAACTCATTTTATATATATATATATATATTTCGTACATGATAACATGATCAAATCACACCACGAATAATTTGTTCCGATAAACTATTTCTAAAGAGGTGAGGATGCTTTAACCTTACATATGGTCCAAACCCCCTCTTTTTCGGGTTTGCTTTTGTTGAGATGTGAATAGAGGGATCATCATAATCATATTTCCTCAAACGTAGAAGAAGCACGTACCCATTAAC